AGCGCAAGACTAAATGTATGACATCTCAAATAAATTGAAACTGAATGACATTAGATCAAATGGTGACGACATTAGCATAAGTAGTAGCATAGTGGACTGTTGGGAGGCTGAAAGGACATCCTTTTGACGGGCATGAATCCATGATCATATCATTTTTCTTGGTCTAATTCGTGCGAATAATACAATCTAATAATGTTGATACGTACACGTTAGAAACAAAAACAAAAACAAATAATAAAAAAGGAAAAAAAAGGTGTTAGCTTTAGCTGTCGAGCATAAGCACTTCTTTCTAGTCGCAATTTTCATCATGTCATGGGGTATATGGAATATGAACGGTGCCTTTGGGTGGTGCTTTACGCAATCCCATTACCCACCCACTCTTCCCAACCCAACCATTCCAAAATCCAATATAACAAAGCGAATCAAGATTCCTCTCTCTCTCTCTCTCTCTCTCTCTCTCTCTCTCTCTCTCTCTCTCTCTCTCTCTCTCTCTCTCTCTCTCTCTCACATCAAATTTTCGCTCAAGAACTCATTATTTCATTTAAATTATAATATATAAATTTAGTAAATGAAAAATGCTAAAGAAATTCTTTAGAAATATAAAAATTTATGAATTTTTTATCACTTTACAGTTTAATGTCAATTCATATTTCAATGTAATAAAACATTTTGTAAAATTTTGAGGGGACAAAAAATCCATTAAAAATCCCATTTTTAACATGTTATTACTACTTCACTCAAATTTGTTATTTTATCTAGGAAGGTTACGTATCAATATTTTTGTACATCTATTTTATATCACATGACTTGTAATCCGGAAACTATTTTTCTCCTCTTTCTCTTTTATTTATTTATTTTATATTATTATTATTTCTTGTTACAGTCTTATCCTATATTATTTTTTATTAATTAATTAAAATAAGTATTTTATTATTTTATAACTTCTATGTTACCATCCAAAGTTCCCTTTCACTTCACAACGCACAGAAGAACCCAAAACCAAGAGAATACAGTATCAAAGTTCCAATCTTTCACATCTTCTCAACCTGTCTGACGACAGCTCTTGATTTTCCAGCCCCAATCTGTTTGTTTCCCAAGAAAATTCCCAAGAAAATTTAACCCAACATGGGAAACAGCGGGAGCAGAAACAACGGCGGCCGCCGGAGACACGCCTCCCGCCAAAACCACCCTGTTCCGCCTCCTCCGGCCCCACCTCAGCCCGAAATCTCTCAAAACCGCTACGTATTCGCAGCGGCGACTCCGTACCCGTCTCAGTACCCCAACCCCAACCCGCCCCAGTACCCCAACCCCAACCCGTCCCAGTACTACCAGTACCCGGGTTACTACCCGCCGCCGCCCATGCCCGTGCCTCTGCCGGCTCCGTACGATCACCACCACCGCGTTCCCCATCCCCAAGTGGACACGGTGCATCCAAATTGGGCTGGCGGGCGGTACCGGTGCGGCCCGGTAATGCAGGCTCCGGCGCCGTACGTGGAGCACCAGAAGGCGGTTACTATAAGGAACGATGTGAATCTGAAGAAGGAGACTCTGAAGGTCGAGCCCGATGAGGAAAACCCTGGAAGCTTCCTCGTGTCTTTTATTTTCGATGCCACGGTTGCAGGGAGGTAAAATTCAAGCTTAAAGCTTTTGTGTTGAACGTGAAGTTTAACTTTTTTACTAACTTCTGATTTGTTTTTAAAGCTTAAAGCTTAAAGCTTTTGTATTAAGTTCCTAATTGTGATTATTATTTGCTTTTATGTGGGATTAGCTTAAATGGAATTGGAGTGTTTGAAAAAGAAACCGTTTTGTGCTAAATTGGTAATCAATTGGATGGTGGGTTGTTAGATACCGAAAGATTGAGAAACAATTTACGGGAGTCGAAGTTTTATTGAAAAGTATTCTGAGGTACTTGCCATTCTGAAGTGACTGCCATTAGAGTTGATCCGGTTATAATGATGACGGGTAATGGCGTCGAAGGATGGAATTGTGGGACTGCAATAGGTTAACATGATCGATTGATGAACTATGGTTTATGATTGATAACTTTGTTTTTTTTTTCATGGAGAATTGTTAAATCCGAGAAACTTGACCCATTAGGATGTTGCCAAATGTTTGTTCTAAAATATGATTTCGTTGACATTGTTTGTGGTATGTACCGTTTGATACAAAATCATTCATGTGGTACAAGGATTTTCTTACCGCTAGAGAGGATTCTAATGGATGAAAGTAGAAGCTGCTTGGGGAACCTCACAAAAGCAATCTGTTTGATTTTTTTCACCTTAAATTATTGTTTAGCTGCAAGGATTTACTCAACTTTTTTCTAACTAGTGAACATTGATCAATGAAGAGGTGTATCCCAAAAGTGATAATTTAGGAAATATAAGATGATCCGAGGACCATAGGTTCTCTTTGGTATCAGTATATTTATTTGTTCATTCAGATTGTTATATTCTTTTGGTAGTTCAATTCTGCAGTATAAAGTCTTTCCCTCGGCTGCAACGCAATTGGATTGATCTTTTTTGCATTATATATCATACGCAAACACCATGCTGTCATGTCATTTTTCATGTAGAATTGTAGTGGTTGTATCTTTTTCTTGGCCAAGGTATAAAGAATTCATATAATTTACATGAATAACTGTTGGTGGGCATGGCTGTATATGATCATCAGATTATTTTTAAATTTTAATTTATGGCTTTGTGAAACAGCATCACCATTATCTTCTTTGCGAAAGAAGGTGAGGATTGTAACCTGACACCAATGAAGTTTAACCTTCATCCACCTGTGACGGTACATTTTGAACAAGGTCTGGGCCAGAAGTTCAGGCAGCCTTCCGGAACTGGAATTAACTTCTCAATGTTTGAGGATGCTGAGTTACTGAAAGTAGCTGACTTGGATATCTATCCCATAGCTGTGAAGGCCGAGGCATCCCCTCCTGCCCATGATGGATCAGAGGGAAGCCCCGCATCTGTAACAACAAACTCCCAGATAACTCAGGCTATATTTGAGAGGGAGAAAGGTGAATTCCAAGTTAGGGTTGTCAAACAGATTCTCTGGGTGAATGGGATGAGGTATGAACTACAGGAGATATATGGCATTGGTAATTCTGTTGAAGGTGAAGTGGACGGGAATGACCCAGGAAAAGAATGTGTAATTTGCCTGTCTGAACCACGGGACACAACTGTTCTTCCATGCAGACACATGGTAATTATACATTGCACTTTTTCTTTTCAAGTTTGTCGTAGTTGGTAGTGGAGAAAGCTGAGCTTAATATTGAGAGAAGTTTGTGATTGGTGAGAGCTAGTTTGTTGCCAAAAGAAAGATGGTAACTGAAAGCGAATTTAGCATTGACATCATTGGGCTTAAATTTCGTAATTGACAAAAGGAAAAAGCAAATTTTTTTTAAAGAGAAGTGATTTATTTGGGTTCAAAATTCCTTTTGACTCATTTGTAGATTCTATAGGATTGCATTAACTTGTGTCCATCTAGTTATCATACTTGCATACTAATGTGCTTGAATTAAGCCAAGTGTAATTTATGTTGGATTTTCGTTGTGACTGACTTTTGGTTGGATTTCTTTTCTTCCTGCAGTGCATGTGCAGTGGGTGTGCCAAGGTCTTGAGATTCCAAACAAACCGATGCCCAATTTGCCGGCAACCAGTTGAGAGGCTTTTGGAGATAAAGGTCAACAATGGCCCTGAGGAATGAGAGGATGTGTTCTGCCACTAGCATTCTGTAAGTTAATGGCACCCCACCCCACCCCACCCCGCCCGGCCCTGCCTCTTTTCTCCACTTTCCTTCTGCACTTGCTTTTCCGTCCCTCACTTCGGTTTTCAATGAATTGAAGAGGCAAATTATATGCTGTACGATGTGCTATGTTGCACCAGTGGTATGTAACGATGCTCTTTACACGCCTACTGAGTGTTCAGTGGTAATTCTTAACTATGCATCTTCTGCGTTTGAATTGGTTGTACCGTCGTAGGTCATCTACAAGTTGCTTCTACCTGTTGTAATTATTTGTTTCAAGAAAGAATAATGTAGATAATCAGGTATTTTTCCATGAATGTTCCGGTTCTGATGAATTTTAGGTATTTGGGCAGAGAGATTGAAGTACGTACATACTCTTCCTTTTAGAAGAATATTGGAGCAATGTTCCCTAAACTAAAATTCATGCGCATTGACCCTATACTTGTTCACTATGCGGGGGCAAAACCCATTTGTGTAATATTGTGACACAAAAAGATCAGTGGATTGTGACACCTTCGTGGACCAAGATTCACAATGTAGTGCGGTAGATCCCCCATCACTTTCATTATTTTATTCAATCACAAAACATGGTACTTCTCTTTTTTTAAACCAAAGGCGTCGACCTTTTCTCAAGGTAGCCTCAAAGTGCGCATCTCAACTTGTCTGTGATTGGCTTCCAAAAGCTCTGAATCATCCGGTTGTCTGCATCCCACCTCTTTTTTATGACACGCGGAGTACTCGCTTGAATACTGAGCACTTTAAAATACTTCTCATCCAGTAAGTGTGAGATGAAAATAAACATATAGGTGCCGTTTGGTTCGCAAGAAAATGAACTTAGAGAACGAGAAATCATTTGATGTTCCATCCCTTTCTCATGCTAAAGACCCTTTCGAGGCATAAGAGAAAGAAGCCCATCCTGAATAGATATAACACGGATATTTAACATACTATAGTTTAAAATATAAACTCGTCATTCACGAAAACTTGAACGGAATAATAACATCACCTGGCGGTGTAATAGACAAAAACTTCTCATGTCAAACGGGACTCGTACCCACCCAGCGAACCTCCACCAAACCTCTAATGTGAGGAAACAATGAACTCTTCATTCATTCGTGGGGTTAAAAGGATGCTGCACAACAAATCGACGTGTAAAGCAGGGTCATCAATCTTCCGTAATCAAATTTAATAAAGATTAAGGTCCCTTGGACCACTCTAACAAGCTTAATTAACGAGAGTCGAAGAAAAGGAACTGAAAGCAAACAGATAAACACAAATCAAACATAAGATTAATAAGTTACTAAGCTGGAAAGCTCAGGTGTCCAACCAGCCATAAAGCAACAACTTGGATGTTTATCATCATCCTACATAACATAAACACACCACGCAAGATAATTATGGTTGTTTTATTTAGCCTAAGTGCCCAACCATAAAAGCAACATCATAGAAACCAGATGATCACGATATCATATCGTGATCAACCGACAGATAGGAGAACATCACCGGGGTTGCCGTCCCCCCACCACTGATGGACAAACACACCACTGCTACGGAGGCTTCCAAAGATGTCCATGCAGTCCACCGGCATTTCACCTCCAGCATCTACTTGGCCTGAGCAGTGAAGAAACAGCTCGTCCACAAAGCATATGGCTCCACTTTCAAACAGTTCCGTGAGGAACTTCAGTTCTACATTGCCTGCATTCATCTTGAGCACCACGAAATCGGCAAACCCCACAGTTTCTTTGAACCAAACGAGGAAATCAAACCCTTCATCTCCGACATACGGATCTGTGATCCCATCAATTGGAACATTGACTTGCGGCTTGATTCCGGCCAGCCCTGGATGATAAACAAAGGTGATTCCGGGCTTTTTGACGTAGGATAACAGAACAGAAGTGTTATGGTCAACAAAATAAACATTGAAATCTTTGCGTTCGATGGGATAAGAAGGCAGGAACCAATTTGTAACATTTGCGTTCAGATGCGCTGCTGCCCCAATATCAATATAGACCAACCGCCTCTTTGAGGAAACATCAACAAAATTAGGTAAGTATGCAAACCTCTTTCCATACTCCACTGGTTTTTCCTTCACCAGACGCTCCATTTTCCCAATGAAAGGTCGATTGCTTGTGAGGGATGGGCAGTCAGCCGGAAGGTGATACTGCTCAAAGACCCCGGCATTGTCATAATTTTTCTTGAACACAACCAGTGTGAAGTTATTGACGTAATTAACGTGCACAACACTGGAACTTTTCAGCAGTGAAGAAATTGGGGTAGCAGACCTAATCAAGCTATTCGGGGAGGAAACACTGCTACCCACAAGCATAGCCCCAATTCCACCGGGGCTAAGAACACGCTCGATCTCAAGCACAAGAAGCGCAGGGACAGAAACCTTATCGAGATCCCTGGAAAGCACAAAATCAAAGGACTTGTCCTCATAGTCAATTTCATACACAAACTGTTTGTGCTTGAGCGAGAAGAACCGGTGTTTGTAAACAGCACGAGCATCGGGAAATCCCAAATCTTGCAATGCCAGCCCGGCCGAGGCAGACCCTTCTCCGACACAGAGAGCTCTTGTACCGTATTTCAATAGCTTCTGACCCATGAGCTCTCTGACCACACTGACAGTCAAATTCACATCCCGCTTGCACTGCTCCGAACCATTAGATCTCCAGAAGGGCACGAAGAACGGACTCTGGAAATTAAACTTCCCCGCGGTCACTTCGATAGGGGCGACGTGGCCCAATTCGGCGGCGCAGTCGCCGGGGTTCACAAAAGTGAACATTGTCATGTAGGTCCCGGACAAAATGTGGATCAACGGTATGATCGACATAGCCGTGGCGATAAAGAATGCCCGGAAAAACACACGCCGGGCCAAAGGCCCATGAAGGATCTGCATTCTCACGCCCTTCAAATCCATGATTCTCTTCGTGATGACTCGGGCCCGAATCATATCGCGTTCAAGCAATTGGGTTTTCTCGTTTCCGATCAAATACGAGTTGTTTAATAAAAAATAAATAAAAGTTGCGAACTTTGTAAAATCAATTACAGATTTCGAGAGAGGGAAAAAGCCAAAGGGAGAAGGAAAGAGTAGATTAGCGACTGCAAAACCTGGAGGAGGTGTGATTCCCACCCACGAGGAGTACTATCGATTTTTTGATTACTAGCAACACCCTCTTCCAAATTCTCGCCGGCTTCGCTTCGAACCAGACGACCCGACCCATATTTACCCTCCGATTGCGAATCTACATTACATGGCGCACGGGGGCAGCACCAATCTTGATTCGTTCCGGGCGGACCGCTGAACACAAACCCTAATTTGGAAATCGGGGATTAGGGATTTTCAGAGCTTTTTCTGAGAGAAGTGATGCAGCAGGCGGTGGGTGTGTACTGCAGATCTGGTTTTAGTAATAATATAAAACACTCCTAGGCTCCTACTGCTAGTATCTGTGGGCTATGATTTGATAAGGTCACCGACGATGTAGGTACCACGTGTCGACACCAGAAGCTTCTCAGCTTGAACTCAGTTTTACCGCGAGCCCAACTGTACAAAACGCCAATGATTGGTAATTGTGCGGAAGGCCAGTGACGCAGGGGGAGAGATGGACGATATTTAACCGTTGGTTTGTGTGGGACCACCAGGTGGATCGACGGCTCGATTTCCATCGATTGGGAATCTAATAAGTAGGGAAGGATGATGAGTTGGCGTTACCATGGATCTGACAAAGCAAAGCGTGTGGTCCCGCACAGGTATTTGTTGGTTTCGAGAGATTTTTCAGTATAATCGGAACACCACGTGTCATTATATAAATGATGAAATATGTGTATTAAAAAGTTAATAACTTAAAAAATACAATTTCTCATAATTTATATAAAGACACGTAATATATTATCCGTGTTTGAATCATAATAAAAAATTTGTCGACAATTGCATACAAATGAATTAATGGTGTTGGGACTAACAAGATGTGATTTTGATGATGTTTATACAGGAGTAGAATTATCTCATCTTCTATTACCATCTATTTCTATCGTTTCCTCTCATATTCTTTTTTTTTTTTTTATCTTATTCTCTATATAAAAGACTTAAAACAAGATGTAAAATTGGGGTAATTACAACTTTTTAAATAAGAAGAGATGAAATAAAAGAGAAATTAAAAGGGATGAGAATTTTCACAGCCGTTAGGTGGGACCGAACTGTTGGTATCACGCAGTTGTATCAATTGGGATTTTAGATGAAGATGATGGGATTCAGCTCGAGTGGGCCCGGGAGTAGTCCTTAGGTAGCAGGCCCTATGATGATTTTTGTGACTTTGACGTGGATGCTACAGGCTTCTCCCTTTCCATTAATAAAGGTTGAGGCTTTTACCATCATTTGGCAAAGTTACTTATGCACGAGTCTCCTTTTATTAATTTGTAACCGTATCGAGTGGAATCAAATTAAAAAATAATTGAATTCTGTAGGAATTAGAATAGAGTGAAGTAGAGCAGGGCAATTAAAAAAAATAATGATAAAGGTTTTAATATTTTGAGTTTTAACAAAAAAAAATCATGTAATAATTTTATTTAATGGTTAAGTTAAAATTCAATATCAAAACAGACCAATAAAACTGGTCCAAACAAAATAATTTATTAAGCTTTTGATTTTATCCCTAACGTGAAACCCTAGCTGTTGCTTCTGCCTCGTCTCCTCAAACTGCTTCAGCTCCGTTGCTTTTCAACTCCATTGCTTTTTTCAACTCCATGGCATTTTTCTCCTCACAGCAAGAAAACCACCAAAACCTTGCTTTTCAATGGCTTTTTTCTTGCATCTCAAATTTTGTTTTTTTGCTTGATTTGTCAAATGGAGATGATGAATGCAAGGTGGCTCTAACTTGGGGTTTCTCCTCCAAAGCTTCATAAAACTCCTCAACATCACAAATTTTTTTCGAAATTGCTCGAAATCAATCGGTAGCACCGCCACATCACCATCATCCTTAATCTGCACCAAATAACATTTCAATTACAAATTACCAAATTTAGCCTCAAATCCAATGTTTCATAAATTAATACCTGGTCAGCTCAAACGTCGTTGACCACCTTGTCATTAAGAAGTTGGGGGACACGTCATCCGGCGAGGTTGTGGTGGCTTGTGAGGTGGTGTTGTTTGAGCATTTGTGGAAGCTTAAGAATGCAGAGACTCAGTTGGGGTTCATGGACGAGCTTGTTGAGTTCTACACTTGCTGAGTTTCTACATTAAGCTTGCTAATTAAATTTGTAAATTGAGAATATGGTAGGAATTAATATTTGTTTTTGTAGTTTTGTGTGTGTGTGTGTGAACTGACTGCTACTATGTGTGTACCTACGTATGTATGTCCATTTGAGACAGTGAGATTACAACGAAATTTTCAACTATAATTTACAACATTTTTAAATTACACTAAAGAAGAAATGAAAGATCTGAACCAACAACTTAGTGAGTCAAAGAGAAATTGTCTTATTCATTTTTTTTTTTTGTCAAAAGAGAAATTGTCTTATTTATTAGGGTAATCTACTACTTACAATTTATTATTTGATTTAACTTTCACATTTTACATAATTCTTTTGTGTTATGCACACAATGTAACCAATGCATTACGGTGTGTAATGGCTTTGGTTTTTTTATTTTTATTCAAATTCAAACTCAGGCATTGTTGAGAGAATAGTTAATTAGTTAATTTTGTTGCCGATACATTTATAATATTTCATTTTCCGTAATGTGAGAAGGTTTAGATTTATCGTATTCAACGATGCCCTTTAACTTCATGTAAATTGTTGTCGAGATTCTCATTATAATTTTTTCACCAAAAAGAAAAACGGTAAGAAGTATTTAAAAAATAGTGATAGTACTTATGTTCAGTTCTAGAAATAATTAGTGTTCAATTCAAGAAATAGTGACAGTATCAGTGTCCGGTTTAAGAGATAGGGATAGTACCCTTCTTCGGTTTAAGAAATAGTGATAGTACTCGTGTCAGCTTAAGAAATAGTCAGTTTTATGTTTAAGAAATAGTGGTAGTACTAGTGTTCAATTTAAGAAATAGTGGTAGTACTAGTGTTCAATTTAAGAAATAGTAATAGTACTCGTGTCAGTTTAAGAAATAGTCAATGTTAAGTTTAAGAAATTGTGGTAGTACTAGTGTTCAGTTTAAGAAATAGTGATAATACCCGTGTTCAATTTAAGAAATAGTGATAATACCCGTGTTCAATTTAAGAAATAGTTAGTATTCAGTTTAAAAAATAGTGATATTACCCATGTCACTTTAAGAAATAGTGGTAGTACCAGTGTTCAGTTTAAGAAACAGTGATAGTATCCGTGTTCAGTTTAAGAAATGGCCATTGTTCAATTTAAGAAATAATGATAATACCCGTGTTCAATTTAAGAAATAGTCATTATTAAGTTTAAGAAATCGATAGTACCAGTGTTCATTTCAAGATATAGTGATAGTACCCGTGTTCAGTTTAAGAAATAATGATAGTACCAGTGTTCAGTTTAAAAAATAATTAGTGTCCAGTTTAAAAAATAATTAGTGTTCATTTTAAGAAATAATGATAATACCCGCGTTCAGTTTAAAAAATAATCAGTGCTTAATTCTATCAATATCTTGTAAAATAATTAGATATCTAAGTTTATGATGTAGCCTTCTGGAATTGTTGGATGTTGGGAACCTATAAGATTGATTTGGCAGACAAGGAGGAAAAGAATGAAGAGTCTATTGCTGCCTTCATTGAAGAAGGCCACTTAGCCATTGATTGGCAGACATTGAGGAGAAAAACACGATAAATCTGCATATATAAGTTCAATGAGTAGCTTTCATATATAATTCAGTACATTGAATTACAAAAATTAAAGACCCCTTGAAGGCTAATTTTGGTAACTAGTGGGATTTTGGTGTGGGGCATGAGCATTCTTTTGTGCAGGATTTTAAGCTGCGTTTTACTGCTCAGTCTTGCCCCAACTCCACTAACATGTCCAAGTTTGTTGATATTATTGAACCTTGCATCTGTGATATACAAAATGATAATATCATCAGTCCTATTGAGGATGAGAAAATTTGGAAAGCTGTCTGCAGCATTGGTGCCCATGAGCCCCCCCCCGGGTCCTCATGGTATCATGCTTCCTTCTATCAAAATTGATGGGATACTGTAGGTCCTTCCATTAGAGATCTAGCAAGAGATTTATTGGGAAATTGTTCAAGCTTAAGGATGATTAATCGTACTAATATTGCTTTAATCCCCTAAGTAAAATTCCCTAAAGTGGTGGATGACTTTAGAGCTATTAGCCTTGCAATGTAACTTACAAAATTATAGCTAAAATCATTGTTAATATGCTAAAACCTCTACTCGAAAGTTGTATTTCTAGGAACCAAGGTGCTTTTGCTCCTGGAAGATCACTCAATGATAATATTCTTATTGCTCATGAAATATTTTCCTCTTTTAAAACAAAAAAAAAGGTAGAACTAGGGTAATGGCATTTAAATTAGACCTCGAAAAAGCTTATGGTCTTATTAGTTGGGATTATATTAAACTTGTCTTGCAGAAATTTGAATTTCATGAATTTGGATCCTCTCTGAGGCAACTGGTCGAGATCCTCCTGACTAGTGTTCGTGGACCGATGGATTTTTATCCAATGACTACAATTATTATTACTTTCAGAGGGTCCTCTTGTTTGTAGCCGTTGGATAAAAATCCAACGGTCCACGAATACTAGTCAAGATGATCCCTACCAGTTGCCTCGGAGATGATCCAAATCCTGGCTTCATAGTCACTGGATAAGGTTAGTTTTGGAATGCGTTACTTCCACTTCTTTTTCTATTCTCATAAATGTTAAAGCACATGGTTACTTTACCCTACTAGAGGAATCAGATAAGGAGATCCTTTGTCTCCTTATATTTTCATTCTTTGTGTGGAACCACTAATCAAGATAAATGTGGGTTTACTTCTCCTAGAGGGTTTAAAATCTCAAATTTAGCCGTGGTGGAGTCAGGATTTTATGTGAGGAGGGGCCTCACATAAATGTAAAAAATATAAAACAAATGGATAGTATTGATAAGAGAGTAGAATAAATGCTTGAATTGTCAACTAATTAAATTTTTTGAGACGCTAAATGTTTTTTTCATGTTGAAATTAGATAGATTTATAAACCTTAATATTGTTGTGGGTTGGAATTTGGAGGACAAATATATGAAATTTCATGAAGGAGAGGAGGAAAACTCAAACTAAATCAGATTTTACATTTTAATTTTAAGAGTTGATTTATTTATAAAATAAGATGTTAAATTTAGTTTTAAGATGAGTGCAATTGGAATTGAAAAGAAAAAGAGACCTCTTATTTTAATTATTGGTGAATAGAATTTAAGAATTTTGTGTAAACTAAAAAAAATACTACATTTGCCAAAAAATTAAAATTA